GAGCACACAAACATTTCTCTGTGATTTCTTTGACTGGAGTCTCCTTAAAATAGCTGTTTTAAACTCTCTGAGAATTCTCACATAATATAGGCACTCTGAGTGCTAGGTAAGGTCATGAGTTCCTACAAGCTCTTGGTATGCAGCACTTGTCTGGGATTGTAAGACTAGATATTTGTTCCAGTCTTCTGGAATTGTACTTGTTTTTCTAGAAATTCTAAACTGGCTTATTTTCTGAGCCTCTGGTCACTTCCACCATTTCAGCTCTAGATGGAGCCAGGTCCAGATTTGGCAGTGGTCTGTTATCTGTGTGATGCTGCTGTTTCAGTACTAGAAGGCACTCCAAGCCCAGGTTTGTCCTAATACTTGCGGGTGCATTGTTCAGGAACAGTAGAGTACCTAAGGAGAATACTCTGTCTCTATAAGCTACTTGCTGGGTCCAGGATATGCCTCAACGCCTCACCCACAGTTACTGGCCTGTGGTCAGACACCGCAGGGTTCTGACTGGCCTGGACATTTACTCTGGATATACTAGCCCCAGACTCCTGTGTTACAGTTAGAGCCCCAAAGCTGTCAAACTGTGTCACACTCTGAGCCCACAGCTCAGCAGGGCCAGTACAGCACTGGGTCAGCTCAGGACCAAAGCGTGCAGTTCTATGGGCTATTCACTGCTGAGGCAGACTTGGGCCCAAGACTGCTGTTAAGAGGCCACAGGTGGTGCTAGCTGGAAGCCAGGTCCAGTAGACTGGGGCCATATGTCTTTCCCTGATGCAGGCGCAGTTCTAAGCACATTCGGGGACAGGGGTCTGTGGGGATATGCTGCCTGTTCAGTTCTAACAGCTTAGCTCTAAGACCCAGGGCAAAATATTTTGATTATTCTGTCCTATGCCAAGGGCTGATCAGACCCCCTAGATACCTGCTGGGGTAATGGCAAGGAATAAAGAATGGCAAAAGACAGGGGCTGGGGAAAGAGCTCAGCAGTCTAAGCGCTTGCTTGGCAAACACAAGGTCCCAGGTATGATCCCTGGTACTGCGTGCCATACCACCCTGGAACCACAGGCATGCCATGCCAGTCACCGAAAGCGGGCATGGTGGTGCACCAGGCATGGTGGTGCATGCCTGAGACTGGAGGATCACTAGAGTCCAAGCTGAATAGCAAGACCTTGTACCAAATAAGATTTTTAAAAATAAAATAAAAAAAAAAAGTTTAAGGATGTTAAAAGACAGTATTTAGGGGTCGGGGAGATGGCTCGGTAGAATAAGCACTTCCCTGGCAAGCGTAAGGGCCTGAGTTCAATCCCTGGTTCCACCAAAAAAAAAAAAAAAAATAATAATAATAATAATAAAAGACAGTATTTATGGTACAAGGGGACCTGGAGAAGCCCGCCTCTGGTGGACAGGCACAACGATCTCCCAGTTGACCCACTTTCATTAGAAAGTGAGAAGCACAGGGCCGAAGTGGTGAACTCTTCCTGGATGAGTAACTGCAGTAGCAAGCAGGTCCTTCCCATCAATAGGTTTGCCTTCTTCAAATGGCCCGCAGCAGATGTAATCTTGCCTTGGGAATGCTGCCACTTTCTCTACACAGCCAGGAGGCATGGGCCTTCCGCATACCTCTGTTTCTAAAGCAAGGTCACACCAGCTTCAAGACCATGGGACCTCAGTCACATAGCCTGGTCCCCAACTGTCCTACCTACCCCCAGCAAATGGGGTTTGTATGAAGCTATGTTGCCTGAGGTCAGCGTAGTGTTGGTGAAGGTAGACCAGGGTCACATGGGCTGTGAATGTGTCACAGCTACATCAACCTACAAGTCTGGGGTACACCAAGCCTCAGGAGTACAAATGGCAATGCAAGTCAACGCATCAGCCAGTCTCACGGAGGTGTAGGTCTCTGCCAGGGCCAGGGCCGTTTACAGTGACAGCTGTGAGCACTGGCTTGGCTACAGCGTGCTACAGGCTCTGGAGGAGGGCATGTCCCAGACCTGCTCTAAAATGGAAACTACAATGGCCTGAACAGAGGTCTGCCTCACAGGCACATAGTTCTCTGCCTGATACTGACGGAAGGAACCTCCAAATGACACAAGGAGAAAAACTATTCTCCCAACCTAAAAGGTACCTGGGACGAGTTCGTGTTCTCTAAAACCAAAGAATGAATTTTAGGAACAAACCAAGGTTATGAGTAGAATAGATTTATTGGGTGAAAGAAAGCTCCTGCCCAAGAGAGGGACAGGAGGGGGGCCAGAACGGATGGTTCCTGGGAAGCTGTCTTTTCCAGGGACTTTTATAGAAGACAACCATGTGGTGAGGCGGGTCTAAGGTAGTGGACAAGACTTGGGAACTTGCTTAGGTGGGCATGACATGGGACAAAACTATGGTCAACCAATGAGCTTACAAGCACCATTGCTCAGCTAAAATTGATTAAATCCAGGACAAATGAGGAAGTGAGTTACGTAGCAATCGGGCATGAATACGGGACAGGGTCTCTTCCTGCTGGGGGTTGGGTCTGTAACTCATTTGGGCTCTTTCAAGGCGATTGATATCTATTTAGAATATCAATCCCTGATGCCCATCCCTAGGGAAGTATGTAACTGTGTTTTCTCTTAGTCTTGGTCTTCAGGTGTGGCCCATATGGGAATGTCTGTCTCTTCAAGTTGCCAAGTCACCTTGTCTTCCATCTAGTCTCCTTGAGGGCCTGGCCCTGTCTGGCTGCCTAGAATATTTCTAGCTAACTTAGCTGCCTACATTACTAGAGCTGGTCTAGCTGCCCACGAGCTCCTACATTGCATGTGGGGTCTTCAGTTTCTACTGGGTGTTCGCTCTCACTCCAGCAAGTAGCAAGCCTGGTACTAGCTCTGAGATGATGCACAGTGATAGCTTTGGGCCCTGCTCCCCAGTGGGTGAGTCTTCACTGTACAGCCCCTGGCCGAGAAAGGGTGATGGAGGCAGTCAGCAGCTGACATACAGCAGCTCGGACTGCAAGCTGACTATTTAGCTCCATCTGAGAGTACTGGCTTAGGGAGAGGCTGTGGGCCTTTTCACCACGGCAGGCCTAGTACTGGGTTAAGTTTACTACCTGAACTTTTCTCCATCCCCCAAATGAGGGGCATTTCTCTCTACGCTAGGCTGCTTGGAGTTGGAGGGTGATACGGGCAATTGTTTCCTTCCTGCCACCTTCAGTGTGTCACTGTGGCTACGCCAACGCAGGCGGTCTCTCGGCCGAGCACCCTAACCCCTGTGCTGGCGGCCTGGGGCACAGCTGTGCGACGCGCTTGCTGTGTCTGCGCGGCACATCACCACAGGCTCCTACACAGCCACCACATCGCCCTGAATCCTGCCCAAAGCCCCATTGTTCAAAAATTTAAGTTCACCCCTCAACGTTGAATGCCATTCCCCTGAACACTGAATTGCACTTTGTGAATACCAAATTTAAAAGTAATCCATTAGCTAACTGGGCTTAAACACAAAGGTTTCTTAAGAGTGCAATACTGCTCACTGACTTCTCGCAAGAAAACAAAACTATAGACAAGTAAGTGTATTGCTACCTTCATGTTTATTTAAATATAGTGATCTTTTAAGAGAATAAACAAAAACTATGCCACAAATATTCCACATAAATGTAAACATGGACATCTAATTATGCAAAATGAACTTTAGGCACAAGATTTTAAATATCACTGAATGAGACAATGAACCCAAAACAGAAATGACAGAGGCAAATAAAACATGTATTTCATAACGATTCAATTGGTCTTATCTTCCAATCTACTGTTTAAGGCATCCTACATTCCTTGCCAAATGGGAATATCCAGTTTGGCTATAGCATATATATATATATATATATATATATATATATATATATATATATATATATATATATATATCCACAAAACAGATGAGACAATTCTCTTTCAAAATAATGTAATAAATACACCACGCACACACACATTCTCTCTCTCGCTCTCTCTTTTGGTGAACCACCCTCTGAAACAGGGAAACAAAGATTTCAAGTTTTCCTACCAAAAACAGGAAAAAAAAAAAAAAAAGATTCTGCTACAGAAATGAGTGTGTTACCATTAATCTGTTTTATTTAGGTATCCCCAACATGCCGTGCTGAGGCGAGCCGCGGCTGCTCAGACCCGTCAGATTTAAGTCTTTGCACATGACCAAAATGACTCACAGTGCAGCAGACACTGTATAAAGGCAACTGCAATTAGAACCTTCAGCACGGACACACTGGGCTTCGTCCAAGTGTCTGGAACGCTCTCTCCTAGGCCTGACCCCTGTACCTCCCCGTTCAGTTTCCTCGGCCTCCTCTCCCACAGGCTGTAAGCACATGCATGTCTAGTCCCTCACGACAGTTCCTATCAAGGAGCTCACACCAAGCAGAGCTCATGCGAGAAAGTCAGCCTGTCCTCACTACTCCACATGGGTCAAAACAGGGAGGGAGAGTCCATGAAGACAGAAAGCATAGAACCCTGGACCTGCGGTGTGGTGTGGAATAAAGGGAGCAGGGAGCTGGGGAGATGGCTCAGTAGAATAAGTGCTTTCCTGGCAAGCGCAAGGGCCTGAGTTCAATCCCCGGTTCCGTCAAAAAGAAAAAGAATGAAAGAGAGCAGGGAGAGACAGTGAAGGCACATACACAGGAAGAAAATGTCCAGTTTAGCTGGCATGAAGATACCTGTGAAGTCATCCGTCAGGCCACATTCTTCATTCCCAAAAAGAGAAAAATCTCTTATTTGCAGACCCACAAAGGTTTTCTGTAGAAAACAACGTCGTGCTAGAGAATAACCTGGTAGGACAGATGACAGGGGAGTCTGAAGCTCAGAAAGCTGATTCACTGAGCCTAGTGCCACGCACAAGTATTTCCTATAGAAACAAACACCTTAATAGGCCAAAACCACAGTTCCACCCACATAAATCGAAGCTCAGGGATTGTGGGTAAATAGGTATTTTAGTTCAAGGGACTGCAACCTGCTTCAGATTAAGCAAGCTAAGAGCAGTGAAATAATTTCCACATCCACCAAAAATTCTTATCTCCAATCATGACCTTTACCCTCCCTGAGCCATCATTACATGGAAATATAAATTTCTAATTATCAATCAGCTCATTAGAAACAAGTTCCATCTGCCACGGACTCCCTGGAGCCCTCAGGAAGGGCAAAGACCCCACCACAAGCACTAGCACACGGCCACCACCTACGCTGGGGCAGGTTGCAGGCATGCGCGGCCGCAGCTCCTCCTCCCTGTTGAGCTCACAGGGTCATTACGTGGCTGCACAACTCTCCCCAAGCCCCCTCATGGACCATCCATTTCCTCTGCAGGTCTAGACTGTCCTCCCCCCAGCTAAGGTGAGGCCTTCTGAGGGGAGGGACGAGTGAAAGGACATCATCATTGTCCTGATGCCCACAGACCAAAGCAGGCAGGAATTTCTCAGGACACATTCCTTCAAGCTACAGCAAGAGGCTGCTCCATACGAACCACAGGACCGTTCACAACAGCCCCTCCATACGGAACTCTTACTAGTGATCAGTTCCAACAGCATCAGATCCCACTTGGAAACTGCACACTGTAGAAAGTAACCTTGTGACTTTCTTCTAGTTTTATATAAAAATACAAACTCACCTAGGAGTCAGGCACAGTGGTACAAAATCCTAAGCAGGAAGAATGTGCTCACTCCATACTGCAGAACTCCTACCTAGATGGTGCTCTTTGGAAATTTACTGCTGGCTCATTCGTTCAGAGGCTTCTCTCCCACTCCTCTCCTCCCTATTCCCACCCTGCTAAAACCCACTAAATGAAGAACATGGATCCACATGGAACCCAACGCCTCGGGTTTTGGTCACATACATCAGCACGGTGGCTGCTGGCTTACTCAGCTTGCTCACTCGGCCCGAGGCATTTAGGGACTGAGTTCTGGCCAGAAGTACCTAGTGCTTTTGTCTTTTTCTTTTCTTTTGGTAGAACCAGGGACTGAACTCAGGCCAAGCGCTTATTCTACTGAGCCATCTCCCCAGCCCTGCGTTTGTCTTTTTGAATCCAGTAAAAACACTAATGGACACCATAAGTGCCAAGTATAAAAATTTCTCATTCTATTAAGAGAAATTCCAGGGTGGGAATATGAACTGGGAATAAAAGACTGCTCATAAGCCGGCCACATGCTTCCCTTCCCTGTCACTGAGGGCTGAGCTGGAATGCCTTCAGGGTCCAACCCAGCAGACACCCAAACACTCCACTTCTGCCCAGGTCTGTCAGGCTGAGTTGGACAAACTTTCCGACCACTTTATGTGACCAATTTAAAGTGGCTGTGACATGTCTCCATGCCGTAGTTTGAGGTCTCTGTCTTCCTCTTTAGCCCTCCAAGAGCATTTCATCTCACTGGTACAGAACATTTGGCCAGACTGGTGGCTATTGGAATTAAAACCAAATCGCTGACCTGGTGAAAACAAGGTCTTTGAGTAACCTAGCCCAGGGCACATTTGTGTTTTCATTAAAAGTGTTAACCAAATAGAAATATAACTCTTGTTATCTCTTCTACAGATATTCTTAAACTGTGCAATAGATTATTCAAAAATTACATAAGAAAACCATCCATCACCACTAAAAGACTTGAATATCGAAGAGTTCCAAAGCTGCAAACGCCTCCTCACAGGCATCACTCCACAACACTTTCCTCGTGGCAATGGACTCCACGCCAAAGCAGCCTGGTCTCCTAGCATCTGCACAGGAAGCAGGTTTCAAGAGGCCGAGTGCTAATCATCACTGTCGCTGCCCGACTCACTCAACTGCAAGTCATTTCCTACAAAGAAAACAGATTCAAATCAAAGGCACAGATTTTAAAAATGACTCCTCAACTTTGGGGTTGACTGATTTGGCCATCACACTATAATAAAACCTTGCCAATACAAATTAATTAGAATAAGATCAATTTGGCTCACTAAAAAAAGGGTGCAGTAAAGATTTCTACAGAAATATTATTTTTGGTATCTTGTAAGCACCACAATATTGCATATTGTGAGAGCAGGAAAACAGCTTTCAAGTGTGTTAATAAATAGCGAGGAAATACTTATAAACAACAAAAAAGCTGTATGGAAGAATCATTCATAAAGAACAAAAAAGCTGTTTGGTAGAAGAGTTCACCTTAAGTTGCTTTACAAAAACTAAGACAACAGGGGCCAGGGAGATGGCTCAGTGGAATAAGCGCTTCCCTGGCAAGTGCAAGGGCCTGAGTTCAATCCCTGGTTCTGCAAAAAACAAAAACAAAATAAAAAAAACCTAAGACAACAGCAAGGAAGGCTTCCCGTTAAAGAAGTCGAATGCTACTTGCACTAGTCTCCCCTAAACCAATATCCTACTGGTATGCTTCTGGTCCAGGAGAATACATCTTATTTTTCTTTTTATGTATTCACTACAGGGTCTACAGGGTTGAACTACCTAGATCAGACTCAGTGATCCTCCTGTTTACGGCCTCCCAAGTGCTGGGATTCCACACCCAGTCTCAACCCTGGGGGCGGGGCTGGCACAGCACCCTGCATCTACCTAAATAAGTGCTTTAATCTGCTGAACTATTTGGCTGGCCCCAAAAGAATACATTTTAAACCTCAGCTCTGATCTAACTGGCTTTCAAAGCCCCCATCATTTTTGGTATAGAGTTTTTAACTTAAGGACACTCGAGTTAATATAGGTCCTGAAGCCTTCTAACGTCTTGGCTGTGTAAGGCCAGATTTTCTTCATGTACGCCAACGTATGCTGAAGGCAGGCACTCCTGGCAAGGTGTTGAGACATTTTCAGTGAACGAGAGTGAGTGGTGGTGCTGGCAGCTAGCGGACAGAGGTGAGGAATTCACTTACACTCTACAATGCACAGCACAGCCCCACAGCAAAGACTTCCATGGCCCAATATATCCACAGGGCTGAGGCGGGGATTTCTGGTCTACAGCAGCCACGACTAGGCTGCTTAACTAGGCTACTTCCCTGTCATGGCTGCCAGACCTTCCAGCTCCACAAAGGACAGAACGGCAGAAAGAACATTCACCAGTGTCCAGTGAGGCAAAAGCCATCAGTTCTCTCTCCAGCTCCAAAACAAAAACACTCTTTGTTCTTATTTTGTTTTACTTTTGCATCAACTACGTTAAAAACCACCTGGGGGGGCCAGGAAGATGGTTCGGTGGAGTAAGTGCTTCCCTGGCAAGCGCAAGGGCCTGAGTTCAATCCCCAGTTCTGCCAAAAAAAAAAAAAAAAAAAAAAAAAAAAAAAAAAATCCACCCAGGAGCCAAGGAAATAGCTCAGCAGCTTAAGTGCTTGCCTAGCAAGTGAAAGGACCTGAGTTGGATCCAGGGTACCAAAGAAAAACAAAACAAAACAGAAAAAAAAAAACCACCCAAACATCCTTCTTTCCCCTCTGGCAAAGGCTGGCCAGTCTCCAAAGAGAGGCAACACATCCTTCTTCAGAAAAGACCTGGGCGCAGGAGCAGAGTGGTGGCAGGCAGCTCCCCTTGGGCTTGGTGTACGTAAAAACAAAGAGCCCACCCACATCTGTTTCAGCATTTTCAAGAATTCATAAGCCCAGTTTATACCAGTGGGGAGCAGAGAAGAGAAGAACAGGGGTTCAACTCTGTGCAACCCGCTCTTGCTGCTTGGTAACACGCACCTTTCTGCTCCAAAGCATCTTTGCCAGGAGCCCTTCCGTACCTTCAATGCCTTTGGCCTTACAGACGGTGGCATGCGACAAGCAGAAGCGAAAGCACAGTAACACTTACGGAGGGTGTTCATGAGCTGATTGCTTCCTTGGGGCCGGCTGGTTCCGTTGGCAACGGCAGGCCTGCTGCTGTAGGGCTGCTGGTGTGCCGGCTGCGGCGGGGAGGCCGGGCCGTTGTCCTCGCCCCCGCTGCTGGAGCTGTCGTCATCGCTCCCCGAGGAGCTCTCGGAGTCTGAGGAGCTGCTCCCGCTGCTGCTGCTCATCTGCTCGATCATGTCAACCTCGGCCCTGAGCTCTGCAAGAACAGGAGGAGGACGGGAGCCCCCCTCAAGGCACTGCCAAGGAGCTGCTGCAGACAATGCCAAGCTGGCAAAACCGACAGCAGCAAGGACTCATTTAAAATAAACTTCTCATGGGGCCCGCCCCTTAGCTCAGTTCTTTAAGTGGCTGCTTCAACAAAGCAGTGAGGCTCAGGTTGCTGTGGTTCGATCCCCACACCTCAAGCCAGCCAAACCTGACCTGAAGGCATTCGGAGCAAAAAATAAAATAAAATACACTTCTCTATCTCAATTCCTTAAAAAACTTACAAATAAAAATTACGAAAACCAACAAACAAAAATACCTAACTTGTTTCCAGAGAGACAATGGAAATATTAAGTTCCCCAAACAAACAGCAGGCTGTATCAGAATAATGTTCTGTACAAGACACAGACTCCATCTATTAATTATCTACTTTTAAATAGATGGTTAATTATGGGACAAGACCCCAGTAGGAGGTGAGAAATATTCTGAAAGGAAGAGGAAAATATCTGAGTAGAAACTAGAAGGCCTGAATGCTTATATTGGATCTACCTATAACCAACAGGGTGACCCAGCCGGGGAGATCAGTGAGTTTTCTAGCCAACTCTGGACAAATAAAGGGCAGACTGGCCATGAAATCCCTTCATGCGCTCATGGAGGCTTCTGGGAAGAACCACGGCAGTGAAGAAAAACAGCAGACTGCCCTCCCTCTTCTCTACTCTTACTGCACTAATGAACATGTCTGTCAAATACTGCGTTTTCACAGATGTAAACCACAGGAGAAAAGACATGTTTTAGCGAGCCATTTTGATGTTACGGGATACATCATGAAACACGTCACACTTCCCTATCCATACACACCAGGTGGCCCTCAACAGCTATGGTTCCTTTAAGCGTAACTGGCAACAACTAACCATGCATATGTAATTCCTATTCTCCTACAGTGGAAATTTCCACAGCAGCAGAATCAATGGGAAAAACTAAAACAAGAGGTGCAACAACTGTGTTCAGTACAGAGAAATATTTATTTGCTAAAAGCATTTGCCTAGGGTGGAAAAGGCAAACTTCCCAAGAACAATTTTCTATCTTTACCTATCTTCTACTAATATGAATTTGTTTCATAAAACTTTTAAATATGAACTATGGCACTTACTGTCACTATTTCTAATTGGAGGACTGAAACCATGCTTTTATGGGGGAGAAAGCCAAGCAAGCTTGTCTCAGCACTGCAGTTAGACAGCAAAGAAGGCTTTTATGTCCTTCGGGGCTACATTCATTTTTACTGGTCTCATGGCCGCCTTCCTCTTCACACTTTGGGTCAGCATTTGGTCACAGGACTTTCAGCGCGTCCTAACTTACATACTTTGCTAGCGTAGAGCTCGGACACTGGCACTTTTGGTTTTTACCCCCTAACACCAAGGACCCTTGCCTTCCCCAAAGCCACGTGGGGCTTTAGCGCCTGTACCTCTGAGAATGCTGCCAAGCCAGCCACAATCCAGGCCACTGTCGCTGCACTCACCCTGGCAAATGAGACAGTGGTAGAATTCCCCACCCTCACCAGCGCTGGAAAAGGAAGCTTTGAGGGAAAAAATTTCATTTTGCAGTACTGTGAACTGAACTCAGTCTCCTACATACCATGTAAGCACTCCACCACTAAGCGACATCTCCAGCTCTTTCTAAATTTTATCTTAAGGCAGTCTTGCTAATTGCCCAGGATGGCCTTGAACTTCTAATTCTCCTGCCTCAGCCATCCAAATAGCCAGGGTCACAGGCACATGATGGCAGTGAACGTCCATGCTGCCCTGTCAAAGGAGCAGCTTGGTGGTCCCTACAGGAGCACTCACCCTGCTCGTAAGCACAGCTGCCACGGCTCTGGAACATGCTCCCTACCTCTTTTGATGTCATCCAGTTGAGGCTCAGGCGAGGGGTTGTCCTTCAAGGGAGAAGTTTTGGGTCCAACTGGAGGCTTTGTTGGCGCTCTGAATGGCATGGGAGGGGGAGGGGGAGGGGGCTGTGACGGCTGTGGGGGGCGAGGAGGCTGCTGCTCCATTCGGGCCTGGATCTTACTGCTTCCCTCGGCTCTGAGATGAGACAGACATTAAAGCAGATGGGTAAACACAGTGGTTCTCAAATTTGTCCAGGTAGCTAAGCATCTAGAAGTCTCTGCAGAACCCCATACCCTTTCCAGACCACTGCAAAATACTAAATTTATGATTTCGTTATATATTTATTGTTCTTTCAATTTTTTTTAAATTTCATGTATGTGGTACAGGATCTCACTACACAGCTTGGACTCCTAAGTGATCTTCCTATTTCAGCCTCCCCAGCACTGGGATTACAGGCCTGTGCCACCACACCTGGCTCAGTGCCCCTGGGGCGGGGCTGGCAGGGCTTATGATGCCGGACCCGGGGAACCTGGTCTCTATGCTTGCCTAAGCAGGTGCTCAATCCACTGAGCTATCTTGTCAGCCCTACACATTTTAGATCTTACAAACATTACGTCTTTTTTTTTTTTTCTGTATTTGAGGGAAGGGTCTACAGGGTATCTAGGGTCTCACTACTAGACCGGACTCATCATGATCCGTCTATTTACAGCCTCCCAAGAGATTACAGTCATGTGCTACCATGCCCAGTCTCAATTGATGTCTCAGTGCATCCCAGCGGCGGGGGCAGGCAGGCAGTCCTGTGGATCTGACTCCCAGGCCCTGCACGTGCTTGCAGGTGCTTTAATCCACTGAGCTATTTGGCCAGCCCTAACATTACTTCTTATTATATTTGGGAAAATACATTTTATTGATATCTGAGAAAACACAAATGTAATTACTGTCATTATCAAGACCACGATAGGAACAAGTAGATATTAACATCCATATAAAGCTGGGACAGATAACACAGAGGTATACAAATAGCACATACTTCCCTGTCTGGTTGTTCACCTACCTTATTTGTTTGGTTTTCTTTCTTCTTCTTTTTTTTTTTTTTTTTGTACTTAGTATAGCGTCTACAGGGTGTTCAGGGTCTTACTACATAGATTGGATTTGTAGTGATTCTCCTATTTTCAGCCTCCCAAGCACTGGGATTACAGGCAATCACCACACCCAGTCTCACTGAGATGGGTCTCAGTGAGTCCTGTGGGTGGGGCCCGCACAGCACACACACACTCCAGCCCGCTGTATTCTGCCTAAGAAGGCGCTTTAGTCCACGGAGCTATCTGGCTGGAGGACTTGTTCTTACCTTGTTTTCTTTTTTTTTAGGATATAAGCAAATTTATTTACTTACCTTGTTTTCTTGACCTGAATGCTACTACTAAGTTTTTCCAGCACATATTCACCAGTGTCGTGGTTAATAATCAGCACGCAGTCTTTCTGATAAGGCCGCTTGTTCCCCTTGAACACAGTCATTGGTGGCGTGGACCCCTGTGTGCCACAAAAGTGAAAGATGGTCAAACTACATAGGCCAGTTAGGAATATCAACATCAAAAGGGATGGGACAAGTGGCGCTGCCTCATCAAGGCAGTCATCAGAGCTCCTCCAAAGAACAGAAAGAACGCATTTGTATTTAAAATCACTCCAGGTTCCAAGACAAAACAAAGTAGAAACAATAACGTAGAAAGAATCTATGACTGCAACTGGCTGCAAGTAATCATGATAGTGTAAAATTTTTACTTATTATACACCTTTCTAAGAAATTGGGAAAATATTACAGAAAATAGCAAAAGTGTGAACTGAGGAAAAACTACTACGTGTATTACACTACTCAGAGGTAGCACTTGAAGCTAGTGAGTAAGCCGTTTTTCTTCCCAATGGGAGCGTGCAGGGCTTGCCTCACGTCAGCAGCAGAGCGTCGCTCAGGGCAGATGACTACTCGGGTAGCTCAGAGTGAGTACATGATGCTCCTGATACTCACCCGTCCAAGTCCTTCAGTGGCCACGTGTCGCTCTCAAGCCAGAGGACAACATCTGTACGCCAGCCCTCTGGCCTTGCACTGTCTACCCCTGGGCTCTGCGTGCTTCAGAGCAGACCTCTCTCAGATTCCCAAGCCCATCCTGCCTCAGGCCTGTCACAAAACTTCTTCTGGTTACATCTTCACTGAATTTCTAAATTTCTTGAATGTCAGATAATCTCACAGATTACCACATTTAAGGGGTCCTTTCTTGATTTTTCTAGAGTAAGTGCTATAGTTTCTCCTTTTTTTTGGCAGAACCGGGGATTGAACTCAGGCCCTTGCACTTGCCAGGGAAGCGCTTACTCTACTGAGCCATCTCCCCAGGCCCTATATTTTCTGATACTCATTTAAACTCTAGACTATACGCCCCACAAGAGCAAGAAATGTGTTTTTTGTTCAGGGTTGTATTACTAGTGTTCAGTAACAGTCAGTACACAGTAGTCATTCAACTAAAATTTGTCAAACATAGGATCTAATGCCTTATTTAGAATCAAAACTTGCCTGGCTCTTTGATTCCTTTTTCATACAGCAAAAATTTAGAACTGGAAGAGACCTTAGAGACTGTTTTACTAACTCCTTCACTTCACATTTGGGAAACGAAGGTCCAGAGGGAGATGATGTAACTTGCCACAGACAACAAGTAATAAAACAGGATGAAGGGGCAAATGATTTTTCTTCAGCACACACGTTTCCAGGTTCCCGTCCAGACATTTTTCATTCTATCAGCACCTACAAAGAACTATGTTCCAGGCCAGAACTGTGAAACACAATGACAAATACTAAGAGCTCCTTGAAGGACACTGTGGGCTTTGTGGTCAGGGCGATGTCCTGAGCTCTTCCTGACACATCCGCCTGCACACGGCTCCTTACCAGTCCTACTCTGCCTGCCTTTTGATTGCTCCAAGCGCATGAGCTATTATGGTTATTTATCAGCAGAGCTGCCTGAGACAGTACCTGTCCAGACAGGAATCTCCTTAGACAGCATATAGGGAGCAAAGAGAATTGGGAAAAATTAAAGAATCATTTTAAATCAAGTGTCTGAGTAACAAACTCCACTCTACCCCATCCTGCCAAGTTCCTTTTTCACTTCTGTTGGCACTTTAGAAATCTAAATATTTTTCAACAGTAGGAAATTCAAGTTACAGTTGATATAAACTATGAGGACTCATTGTGATCCTATAGTAAAACCAACAACAATGGAATAAACGTACTGGGATATGCGGCAGTGTAATTGTGACTTCATCTCCTTTGCCGACCTGAAGCTCTCCTTCACAGGAAGTATCTATAGATGCGGGCTTAAAGTCATCTGCAGGCAAAAGGAAAGCAAAATAAAAATGATTTAGAATTCTTAAAAATCAATTTCATTGTAAGTTAAAAACAAGGGCTGACCAAAAAGCTCAGTGGATTAAAGTGCCTGTAAGCAGGGGATGGGGGTTTGATCACCGGACCTGCGTGCCGGCCCCACCCACGGGGCACGGTAGCACACGCCTGTAATCCCAGCTCTTGGGAGGCTGTAAACAGGCGGATCACTATGAGTCCAATCTAGTAGTGAGATCCTGAACACCCTATAGGCCCTTCCCTAAAATCTAAAAAAAAAAACTCAATGTGTGTGTGTGTATCTCATATGCAGGTACAAATTTCCTATGGTAAATATGATCTTTCTGTATATTTAAGTTGCATCAACAAACTTAAACAATTTTAAAAACCTATTATGGAAAACTTCACAGGGGCTGGGAGATAGCTCAGTAGAATAAGTGCTTGTCTGGCAAGCGCAAGGGCCTGAGTTCAATCCCTGGTTCTGCCCAAAAAAAAGAAAAAAGAAAACTTCACATACCTAAAAGTACAGAGAACAGTACAATAAACTTGGAAGTATCTTTGTCCAGTTTCAATAACTACCAAGGGATACTCCACATACTGTGTATATAGTGCTTCTCTTCCACTAGAAAATCTGGAAGAGCTAGAATTTACAGAGCATTTTATAAAGCAAAGATATTTCCTTCTCCCAAAGGACAAATGATATTAATGCTTCATCATCTATAAGAAGATGTTTTATTAGAGCTGTGAGGATCAAAAACAACAGAATATGTAAGAAATCCTTGATTGTAAAACCCTGTATGACACATGAAAGGCCACAGCATCATAAAAGCTGACTGCTTTTATGATGTAGGAGAACCTGTCAAAATTAGAACATGCCACACCCAAGTTCCACAGTGTAGACAATGACACTTCTGATGCTCAGGCCAGAAGGTTGAAATGTTTCCTCACAGGTTCTCCTACATAGCCATCTTCACGTGGCCACAACTTGCCGGCCAGGCACAGAGGTGAACCATCTCATTTAAGTCCCACCTTGCCCTTCACTGAAGAAAAACACCAACTTAGTACAGTTGGGAAATGATGGTCTTATCACGCTGCCAATATTGCAGTCTTTCAAAGAGCTGGGTCTGCTGTCACTAGGAAGCACAGAAATGCATGAGGGACCACACAAAGACAAGCAGCTTCATTATCTAACCCACCCTCCTCTTACGCTTTGAGTCACCTCTATTAGCTCCTCTGACAAAAACAAGTCTTAAGTGCTGGTGCCACAGGAAACCTGGAGCTTGTGAATCACGGAGGGAGGCTCAGTCAACCAAATCCCGAGGGCCAAACCTTTACCCAAAAGAGTGCAAGGGGCCCTTCTCCACAAAGTCTGTAATCATGTAGGAAGAAAACGTCCAGCGTAATGACTAGCTCGGTATTCCTTAGGTCTGCCCTTGTTTCCAATCATAGTCCCCGCTGTAGCTTAAGCCTGACTCACGTATTTTAATTCTTGTTCGGCATCTACAAGGGACTTGGTCCAGATATCAGGGTAGTAAAGGTGGCCTCAGAAAACAGCAGCCTCAATGAGGCACGGAAAGGAAGAGACAGGCTGCGATGTGGGTGTCGTTTCATTGGGTGCGCATGGGACAAGCATAGGATCAGAGCGACCAGGACCAACGCGGAGAAGGAAAGAAGGAAGCAGGAAGGAGAGGAGGCTCACAGCAAGCGGGAGGAATCTGGAAAAAGTGGAGAGCCCGGATGGGACCGTCCAAGGGGGCGGGGAAGGAGGGATTCGACCCCGAGGAAGGAGGGTCCCCAACTCTGGCTTAAGAGCTCGGTGGGCGGATAAAATAGGAAAGCAGTCGAAGCCCTTGGGAGTTTAGGACATAAGGCAGAAGAATAATTGTGACAAAAGGTTTGGCTTGGGAGGAGTGATCTAAAAAAAGATTAAGTCGAGATTCCAGAGCATCTGGGGTAACACAGAAGGGGACTGACGTTCGCAGGGAGTTGCCGGCACTTCGGAGGGCAGAGGGAAGAAAGGCAGGCGCCCAGGCTGGCAGCGGCGGCCGGAGCAGCCGAGCGGAAGCGCGGGGCGGCCGACTCACAGCGAATGGTGTGGAAGGAGGCCCGCGGCCGCTTCTCGAAGCTCTCTCCGAGGCGCAGACAGTGCTCCTCGCGGTCCAGCAGTGGGTTCGCCGTCCCGTTCATTGCTCCGGATTAACGCTCTCCCCTCGCGGCCGCAGCGCCAGCAACTCGCACAGGCGTCCGGTAGAGAGCGCACCGAGAGCCCGGCCCGGGCCCAGCAGGGGCCGGAAACAAACCTCCTCCGCGTCGGGGTGGGGGAAGACGCCAAAGACGCGAGGCCGCGGCACTTCCGGCGCTGGGCGGGACTTCCGGGTTGTGGCCGGAAGTAGCTGAGGAGGTGCAGCGGCCAAAGAAATCCGCCTGGACCCAGCGGGTTGTAAATTGTGGTGGCTCCCAGAGTCCACTTCCGTGCTTGGCCAGGCCGAGAGGCGGGTGTGTGCTGCCGGGCGTGCGGGTGAGCCGCAGAGCTGCTGACGGTGAGCTCCGCGCGTGGCGACGAGGTTAACGCGCGTCTGACTGCCGGTACGGCGTTCCCTCTAGGTCCCGGGGGCCAGCGCAGCGCACTTCATCCCTCCGGTAGTGAAAGGGGTGGCTCCCCAGCGCCCTAGCCACGAGGCTCGGGGCCACTTCTTCCGGGCCGTGGTGGCCGTAGCGACGGCCTCGGCCCCCAGAAAGCGACCCCTCCTACGGGTGGGGCGACAGCCCCTCGCGAGCGCGGTGCGACTCAGGCACCCAGACCTAGCGCATCTCGTCCTACAAGAGCGGTGTCCGACCCCAAGAAAACGATGACCCCACTTCTGTCTGGCGGTTGGCTGTCCGCTGTCAGCTCAGGCAGCTGCCTTGTTTTTATAAGTCACTCTTTTCTTTGTTTCTTCTTCTGTTTTTTTTTTTTTATATACCGGGAATTGAACTCAGGACCTTACGCTTGCCAGGCAGGTGTTTGTGCCGCCGAGCTATCTCCCTGGCTCTACGTCGCTCTTTTCAAGGGCACCGAAAGTGAGTATTTTTGCCCCAGGGTTTCTCAGTCAATTCATGGGAGTTTGTTTTGATTTTTTTCCAAATTGAACCGGTTTATTGTAATAGTTGGCCGGTCCCCGTTTGTTTCACAGTTCAGTGCATGAGGCAGCAGACCTGGCCTCTGAACTTAAGCTCTTTGGAAGTATGGACTAGGTCTTGGTCTTTCTGACTTTTCTTTTGGTGGCAGGTCGGGTTTTGTGTAGTGCTAAGTGGCAGATCATGTTTCATGAATTGAATCCAGTGTCTTTTTTTTTTTTTTTTTCTCGGAAGCAGGGTGTTATGGTTTGTGTCTAGGTGTTCCCCCATAAAGCCTCATGCAGTCTTGGGGTGGCTTCTGGAGTTTGTGATTGATTACTGTGGGTGTGGATGCTGCACCTGCCCTGGGGCAGGTAATTTGCATTTCAGTGTAAGGAGGAAAGAGAAGCTAGCTGCTTGAGCTGCTGCTACCCCTCCCTTGCGCTCTTGGTCTTTGCCACCACCATGAAAGGTTGCTTTCTGCTATGTGCCGCTCTGCCTTGGAGCCACCTGAGTATGGACTGAAACCTCCAGTAATGTGAGCTAAATAAACCTTTCCTTCCTTCCTTCATTTTGAGTGTCGCGTATTTGTCCCAGCAATGAGAGAAGAGTAACTAAGACACAGGGATTGAACTCAGGCCCTTGCAATGAGCCATCTCCTTGGCCCCTTGAACCCAGCGTCTTGAAGAACTGTTCTAAAATAACGAAGCCAATGTCTTAAGAAACTATTCTAGAACCGCTGCTTCTCTGTTCCAAAGAACTGTTCTAGAACCACTAACCAGAATCTTGTTCTTTGCTCCCGCCAGGCACCCTGTGAGGCCGACGTGACAACCACCTGTAAAAACAAGCATCTGAGGGAAAACTCTGGGTTCTCAGTATCAGCACGGATTTCTCAAATTACTGGAAGGTGGAGAATCAGCAGCAGTGTTGAATGTGCCACCCCCCGCTCGTCAGATGGCTTGCTTGCAAAGGAAAGGATTGCAGGCCAGGATTCTCACCTCTGAAGAAAAGGAGAAACTGCAAAGTGACCAAGCTTTGGTGTCTGATTTTAAACAGCAAAAGCTGGAAAATGAGGCTCAGAAAAACTGGGACCTTTTCTACAAAAGAAATAGTACCAATTTTTTCAAGGATAGACACTGGACCACCAGAGAGTTTGAGGAGTTAAAGTCATGCAGGGAGGTAAGCTGCTATTTCACCTTACCCTGACCTGTTCTTTATTTAAAATGTGTGGAAGAGAAATCTTTTATTGCATTCCTGCAGGAAATATGAACTAGAGAACTTAGGAAGCCTATCAAAATATTTTGGACCCTTGGAGAGAGACGCCCTGCTTGCCTAGTTTTAGCAATTGCTGGGTTAACACCTAGGAGGGAGACATCTTAGTGGTTGTTTTCTATTGTTTTAAAGCTAAGCTGCAAGTTGTAAACATTCAGTATGTATACTGTAAATGTCAGTGACATTTCGAAATACTGGTAGTGAGTGTTCATGAACTCTCTGCCTTGGCCTTTGCTACGGACTGTACACGTGTTCCCTCATTTAAACTTTGTGGGAATTCTATGACCTGTGTTGCTGTTGTCCTCATTTGCAGGTAAAACTGAAGGCCAGAGCTGTTTAAATGGTTTACCTGAGGATAGAACGCGGGGGCAGAGGAGGAGTTGGGATTTGCGTGCAGATTTGCTCGAGAGTCTCTTCCGTTAGCCAGGATGCTGACTGCCCAGGGTTGGCTGATGGTCAGTGAAGTGCTGGCATTGACTTCTGCTTGTGAATTCTCTTGTTTATTGTCTGCTCTGTTGGGTCGGAGACTTCGTCTCACGTTCTGGGTATTTTCATTAGGCCTATGTAATATACTCTAACCTGGGGTTTCCTTTCCTCAGTTTGAAGGTCAGAAGTTGACTCTCCTCGAAGCTGGCTGTGGAGTCGGGAACTGTTTATTCCCACTTTTAGAGGAAGATCTGAATATCTTTGCCTATGCCTGTGATTTTTCTCCAAGAGCAGTTGAATATGTTAAGGTTGGTGAACCATCTGTGTATTTTATATTTCTATTTCCATAGATTTGTTCATCCTGTTCTGTCCTATTTTCTTAATTTCAGTCCTCTCCCTGGAGCTAAAATCACTGCAAGTGTAATTTTCCTTTTACATACATACCCAACACATAGAAACACAGCTTTAATCAAGGAATGTAAGCAAAACTCATAGCAAGACCTATAAACTTTACTCTTTCTGTTTCCAGAACTGTCTTTACTGAACTGTTAAACATTGACTCCTAAGTACATAGGTCTGTATCTATCTCCCCCAAAGAAAAGCCTTTTTTAGGGCTAGCCTGATAGCCCAACAGACTAAAGCGCCTACTAAGGCATAGTGCAGTGACCGTCTGGTCCCCAGCCTGCCGAGCTGGCCCCCCCCCAGGGCCCCCCCCCCCCCCCCCGCCGCGAGCTGCAGTAAGCCCAATCTCAAGAGACCCCAGACCTCGTCCGAGCCCAAACTCCCTCAAAAGCCCGTAGTGATTGAGACTGGGCGTGGTGGTGCAGATGCCTGTAATCCCTGAGTTTGGGAGACTGAAAACAGAAGGATCATTACGAGTCCGTCTGACCTACGTAGTGAGACCTTGTAGACCCTCTATGCCCTGTACTAAATGCATGAAAAAAAGCCTCCTTATGTGTAACCGCTATTAGTTTATCATGCATAATACACACCATTGTAATCCTCTGATACCCTCTTAGTACCCATTTCAGATTCAGATTTTCCCAAGTAGGTCCAGATGTCTTTTGAGCTGTTTTTAATCCAATTAAGCTACCTCTTACATTCCCATTATGTCACTTACATCTTTTTGGCTTAAAATACTCCTGTTCTATCTCTTAAGTTTGTCCCCACTGACACTGGGTTTTAGAAGGGTTCAAGTCCATTTTGTATAGTAAAGTCCCACATTCCAAACTGGTCTGATTGTTTGTGTTATTATTTAATTTGTGTATTTCTGTACTTCTTATAAATTAAAAGTTAAGCTTAAATATTTTGAAAGGTGTTTTATCTTGGGAGGTAATAGTGCCGATGATCTCACTAAAGTGAGACTAGTTTTATTCACTGAATCAAGGTAACAACTGTCTCATTCTTCCATAATAAAAATATTTCCTTTTGCCATTAGCAAATTCGTGGGGGATATCTTGGCAACATGCTGATAACTAATTCCCCATCAACCTTTCTGACTTTTTTTGAGCATGTGTTATGGTTTGTGTGTATTTGTCCCCCAAAGCCTCATGCAGTCATTGAGGTGCAGTTCTATAGTTTGTGATTAATTCAAGATCGAAGGCTGGGATTATGGATCTGAGTGAGTACTGCTGGGATTATGGGGCAGCCTGGGGCAGATAGCCTGAATGTAACATAAGAGACCCAGAGAGACAGACTTGCTCTCTGTTGCCATTGTTGCTGCTCCTCCTCCATTTTGCTCTCTGCTCTTTGCCACCACCATGAAAGGTTGCTCTCTGCCACGTGCCACTCTGCCTTGGAGCCAGCTGAGTATGGACTAAAACCTCCAGTAACTGTGGGCTAAATAATTCCTTCCTTCATTTTGGGTGTTGGGTATTTGTCCCAGCAATGAGAGAAGAGTAACTGAGACAGTGCAGTAGTATAATATTTAGTATAACTTCATTTGTCTGCTCTACGTTACTACGTATTGCAGTTTTTCATGTTAGCACGTGTAGATTACCACATATTTGGCATGTAATATTCCATAGAGTGGGTATGTCTTATTTAATAGTCCCATATGGATGTTCATTCATATCGTTTTTAGTTTTTTGCTCTTACAAGTGGGGTTATTGTGACCTGCATAATCCACATACTTCCCAAATGCGTGCAAATATTTCTTTCTAAGGAATACAATGAAGTAGAATTCTTTGAAAGAAGTGCATACACATTTAAATTTTCATAAATAATGCCAGGGGCTGAGGAGATGGCTCAGTGAATAAGCGCTTCCCTGGCAAGCGCAAGGGCCTGAGTTCAATCCCTGGTTCCGCTAAATAAATAAATAATGCCAAGTTTCCTCCTGAAAAGGTTATATTAATTTATAATTTCTCCAGTGTCTCTACATTTTGTTTTGTGCTTGTTATAAGGAATTTAAAGGCTCTCTAGTATGTGAATACACATTTTTTTCTTCTGCCTTTATGAGTTTCTTTACCTATGTCTATTGGCAGTCTGATATCACCATGAGTACTTAGCTTAAACTGTAAAGAAACAAATCTCTCCTTTGAGCCGGGCGTGGTGGCGAAGCCCTGTAACCCCAGCACTCGGAGGCTGAGGCAGGGGTCACTGAGAGTGCCAGGCCAGACTAGGGGATCAGTGAGAGTGCCAGGCCAGACTAGGGGATCAGTGAGAGTGCCAGGCCAGACTAGGGGATCAGTGAGA